GTGAGCCAAAATTGACGTCAAGTCTGGCCCAAAGAGGAGATCTCCTGATAAAGGGATTCCACACAGCCTAACTTTTGATGTCGAGCCCCCCTGCCATGTTTTTAGCCATAAGGCCCTTCTCGCAGAGCGAGCTGTCATGTGTATGGATTCTGCAGACGCATCCAGAATCCTTTGGAGTCCCTGCATTTATATGCGCCTTTAGCTGGTTCAGCCAATATTCCAGATTTCTTGCTACGCACGTGAAAGAGAATCACCAGAAGCTGAAGCACTAAAGCAAAAATGCATTACTTGCATAGACTTTTTTCCAAGCATCTGACAGTTTACTCTTGCAGGAAGGATATCACCTCTTGCTAGATTTCTTTTCACTGCTCTTAGCCCAAGACAAAGCACAATGGAACATAAAGGCTTAGCCATCAACTGACCCTGAACGCATCCCAAAAGGCACACAGTGTAGGCAGAGGCCAAACCTCCACACAACCAGTGCACTGGCCCCACACACCAAAAAAAAAATAAATAAAAAAATATATTAAAAAAAAAAAAAAAAAAAAAAGCGCAGCATAGTAAAGTGGTCCATAGGAAGCTCTCTTTGTTGGTGCAGCGGTCCATGTAACTGTCTCCATGTCCCAGCATCCTGGAATGCTGCTGCGCCGGCCCGGGGCAGGAAATAGGCACTTGCTGGGTCCTGCCCCCTCCCCCTGTATCCGAAACTGATGCCACACACCGCAACCAGAAGCTCTGCCCCTGCCCGGAAGTGACCTTACGGGCATGCCCAGATGCTGCTCGAACACCAAAACCATGATCACCGCCATTGGCCACACAGGGATATCAGGACTACAGCTACCCAGTGGTACTGGCTCTCCCCGTGCACTGAAAGGGGAGAGTGGAGTCAGGAACAGGCCCCCACCCCCTCCTGGCACTCTGCCTGAAGGACCCCTGCTGCAAAGAAAAAAAGGTAAAAGAAAAAAAAAAAAAAAAAAAAAAAAGACCTCTCAGGCAGCACCTGAGAGAACGCAGTCTCCATAGTTCCTGTTTGTTTCTACCTTGCCAGAGGAAACAAGATAACTGAGGACTGTGGGGAGAGGCCTCCAATTTTATGTGGGTGCGTGTTTCCTGCAAGAGGAGGAGCTGCTTTCTCTCATGCTGTCCGGAAAGATGTTTCGAGTAAAAAAAAAAATTTGGAAATATTGAAACATTGTGGAGAAATTTTACAAATTGAAAGTCATTTTGTTATACTGGGAATGTGAAAACAGTTACCCGTTCACTTGATTCCCAGGAATCTTTCAGGACAGTTCCCACCCAGCACAGGAAACACAAATCCATACTAGTATAAAAGCATGTGCTACCCTCAGGGTTCCTCAGTAATAACTGAAGGCCATACGCAACATAAGTTACTTCCCTTTCCTAAAACCTAGTGTGGGAAGCAGCACCATCCTGGACGATTCCTGGAAATCAAGTTAACAGGTTTCCAAAATCATCTTCCAGGACAGATTAACAACAGCAACATAGAATCCATACCTGCTAGGGAGGGACCACTGCCCCCCCTCCCAAACGCCTGGTCACAGAAAGACAGATACGAACGGTAATGTTTTGGACTGTAATGTTCTGGAAACTTGACCAGGTGGCTGCTTTGCAGATTTGGTTTGGGGTAGCCCCTGCCCTTTCTGCCCATAAAGTAGCCAGAGCTCTACTGGGCTCTCAGGTTTGGGGAGCCCTGCTGTTAAGCAGGCTTCCTTGATGACCGATTTTATCCATCTAGCTATAGTAGCTTTATTGGCACCTGATCCTTTCCTAGGCCCGAGTAAGGCACAAAAAGGATATACTGTCCTCCACTACAATCCAATTAAGTTTAGTTTGTGGACATCTTCGTATGGATTTTTTGCCTGTCCTCAAAAAGGGATCAATCTCCCGTGACCTGTGGAAGCTCGCTCACTCTCCTGGCCGAAACTATGGCAATAAGTAGTACAGTCTTGTAAGTTAGTATCTTAAATGAACTTTCTTCTAGTGGCTCAAAGGGTTGCTTCATAAAAGCTCTTTAGTACTGTAGATAAATCCCAAGGAGGAACCCTCTTTTGCTGAGGGGCTCTCCTTGAGACTGCTTTGATAAATTTTTAATAGTGATGTTCCGCTAATTGAAAGTCTATTAAATTTGCCACCTGAACATTTTTTGGGGCACAAGCCCCAAGTCTGTACGGTCCTGTAAAAATAAAAAACTGTAGGAATTATAGGCCTGGAAATATTGTCCCTCCCTTTCCGCTAGGTACAGTTTCTTCCAAATTTTGGCATAAAATATATTGGACAATTTCATGTCCATTTTTGTCCCAAACTGACCACATTTTGATCCAGAGTCTGGACTTCTCCACATATTATCCCTAAGGACACAAGATTGGCCCTTGCCGATTTGTCCTTGACACAAGATTGGCATATGCCGATTTTTGGCCTCCATCACCGCCACAGAAAGTAGCCTACCAACATCTAATTATTGATGACTAAAACAAATAGCCAGGGCGTGGAAGAAACATGCTATCCGGTTCCTAGAGGTTAAGAGCACATGATAATCCACGTGTCCAATTTGTCGAATAATGAGAACATTATTAGTTTCCTTAATGACCCTCATAGGAAATTTTTAAAAATCTGGGAATGATGGCTAATTGCACATTGCCGTCCTTGGACCCTTCTAGCGTGTGCATGTAATAATTTCTCATTGGAACTGTGGGGGTTAGGCCCCACCCTCCCGTTCTCCTTCCCTCCTTTGTCTTACATTTGTTTTACCCCCGTTTTTTTCTCTTTGTTAATGCACCAATTTTGACACCTTGAATGCATCCCGTGTAATCTAGTAGCAACTGAGTCTTACACTTTGATTGCGCTGGCATTTGATTAGGAAGATCGCTTCAGGAGTTCGAGTTTTCAGCACTATTTTGTTTTGCATGTCTATCATTTGCCATTGTCCCTATGTAGTCTCATTGTGCTATGTATCTTTTAAAACAATAATCGAAAAAGAACCTACAGATTAAGAGACATTCTCCTTTTGTCCATGGCTGCAGTTAAGTCCATATACATTTAGACATGGGCAGAATTTTCATACTTTTGGCTCTTTATGCCATCAGAACAAAGTTAAAACGAAACAGTCCAAATGAATTTGAAGTGCAGACTTTCAGCTTTAATTCAAGGGGTTGAACATAAATATCAAGTACAAATTTTAGGAACTGCGACCATTATTATACACAGTCCCTCCATTTTCAGGGACTCAAAAGTAATTGGACAAATATAATAAAATGTAAATTTTTAAAGATATTGTTGAGAATCCTTTACTGGCAATGACTCCCTTAAGTCTGGAACCCATTGACATTACCAAATACTGGATTTCCTCCTTTCTAATGCTTTGCCAGGCTCTAACTACAGCTGTCTTCAGTTGTTCTTTGCTTGTGGGTCTGTCTTTAGTTTTGCCTCCAGCAAGTCAAATGCATGCTCAATTGGGTTGAGATCAGGTGATTGACTCGGCCATTGCGGAATATTTCACTTATCTTCCGTCAAAAGCTCCTGGGCTGCTTTTGCAGTGTGTTTTGGATCATTGTCCATCTGTACTGTGAAGTGCCGCCCAACCAACTTAGCTGCATTTGGCTGAATCTGGGCTGATAGTATCCCTGAACAATGCAGAATTCATCCAGCTGCTTCTGTCTCATCAATAAAAACCAAAAAGAACCAGTGCCACTGGAAGCTATGCATGCCCATGCCATCACACTGCCTCCACCATGTTTTACAGATGACTTTGAGTGCTTTGGATCATGAGCAGTTCCAAGCCTTCTCCACACTTTTTTTCTTCCCGCCATTCTGGTACAGATTAATCTTAGCTTCATCCGTCCAAAGAACGCTTTTCCAGAACTGGTCTGGCTTTTTTAGATTTTTTTTTTTAGCAAAGTCTAACCTGGCTTTTCTATTCTTCAGGCTTATGAATTGGTTGGCAGCTTGTGGTGAACCCTCTGTATTTGCTCTCGTGACGTCTTCTCTTGAACGTAGACTGACAATTATACATCCACCTCCTGGAGAGTGTCCTTCACTTATTTAGATGTGCTGAATGGGTTTTTCTTTACCATAGAGAGGATACTGCAATCATCCACCACTGTTGTCTTCCATGCCTTTTTATGTTGCTGAGCTCACCAGTGCATTCTTTCCTCCGAATGTACCAAACTGTTGATTTGGCCACTCCGAGGAGGGAGGAGGAAGGAGAAGGAGGAGAAGAAGGAGAAGGAGGAGAAGGAAGGAGGAGAAGGAGGAGAAGAAGGAGAAAAAGGAGAAGGAGAAAAGAAGAAGGGGGGGCTACTCTAAAAAGCTTTCATTCCTAAACCTTTTCTCCAATTTGGATGTACATACCAGTAAAATACCATACAAATTAAACTTGAGAGTGCACTTTCAGCCCATATCCATTATACAACTAAAGCTTGAATGTGTTTCAGCAAATACCAAAAAAAAAAAAAAAAAAAAAAAACAAAAAAAAAAACCAAACTAAAATTGTGCCTGTGTCCAAAAATATATGGACCTAACCGTATACATTTGGTTTTCATTTCTCATAACCCTAATTTAGAGGTGATATGTGCTACATTCAAGCTGTTATAGTATTGCAGATCGACTTGAATCTCAGATCCAAAGACCCTACTGCTTCTTTTCTTCTTCTGCCTATCTAGGCATTTTATTTTCATGTCATCCTATTGCATCATCCTTTTCCTTCCACTCTTCTCACAGAAGTTTATTACCTATGTGTCCCTTTCTGGTGTTAGTGCTCATTGACCCAATATCTGGCATTACCCATGATATCTACTACATTATTTGTTACTATGGATATACTTTACCATATGTGCCTTAGAAATATTAATAAAAACCTATTTGCAAAAAAAAAAAAGTGGTCTTTAGTTATACTTTAAGCTATAAAAAGGACAAAAAGTTGGAAGACATTCATGTTCTACACACTGGACAAAGTATAATTTACATTAGAGAAGAGTACTAACCTGTGGATAAGCCACTCCAAACACTTCTTGGCTGGTTTGAGCATAAAGTATGGAGACAGATGTGTGAGAAACAAAGAAATGCTTTCATCCAACTGTTGGTTAACAGCCTTCGTTTGGACACTACGCTCAAGACTTTTCGAAGTACTGCTGAACAGAGTTTCCTCAAAAGCTTTAAAGGAGGAATCAATTCCCATTAGTTCATAAAGACCCGTACAACCTTAAAAAAAAAAAAAAAAAAAAATAGTATACAAGTTATTTGGTTGAAAGAATGCATGTGTACCAACTGCAATGACAAATCATGTTTCAACTTCCCCACCTAACTTGATATAGTTTGCAAAACAACCACTAGCATGAAAGAACAGGAATAAGCCATTTTATTCTGCCACTCATCCCCTGTTTAAAAGGATAACTTGACCAAAAAAATAAATGCATCTTTGTGGGGGGGAAAAAAAAAAACAAAAAAAAAAAAAAAAAAAAAAAAAAAACAAAGTGCATTTTTTTTGTTTTTCTTGGGAGCCTGTAAAACATTGCACCCGCAGTCAGCAGATAACTGGGTGCAATTCAGGGCTCTTGCAGACTGTTTAAGCTGTCTGTTCGCACATTGTACAAGTAGGCAGTTACAAACCAACAGGAAGCATCTAGAGCACTCAACAGTGCCCTGGTAGTTCATCAAGACCTACAAGCCGACATCCACAAAGACTGTCTGTACTTTTAGTTCATTATTCACAGGTCTCTGAATGAATGATGTGGCTTTGTGGGCACAACCCCATGTGGCCACGATCTTTTCAAATGACAGCAGGTGCGGGGAGAAGATTCCCAGCCTGTTGTCACAGTGAGCGCAAGGATCGGGAGCAACTGCAGGAGTGGGAACATGTTACACCCTAAAAATGGGAGAAACAAGTAAAAAGGTTTCCAAAGGTGAACTCGAAGATTTGTCGTCAACACAAAGGTCCACTAGAGCCAGCTAAAAAAAAAAAAAAAAAAAAAAAAAAAAAAAAAAAAAAAAAGCTATATACACAGGGACATGTAGCCAATCACAAGAAGTGATGGCTCCACAAGAAGCTGTTAGAAGACACACCCAGCAATTTTGGCAAGAGGGGGAAGGGGCGTATTGGGTTTGGAGGATTTGTATGTTACCATGCTTTAGGTTATATCCTAAATAAGGATGTAACATGAAGCACAATCAAAAATTATGAATCATACACTGGTCACTTGCATTGCTTAAGAACTTCAGATGCAAAATCCCCTCTCTCGCATTTCTGAAACTGCTCACACAATTAAGCCTCACCAAAACAAACGAGTACTTTTCCTAATCTATTAAGATGTGAAAAGTATCAAGCAGTAGGGATTACTTATTCAACCATGTAAGTTTTAGGGAGGTGCAAAACCTGTCTCCGACTAAAGTTGAATTACCCTGCTATAGGTGTAGGCAATTTACATACCTCACGAAGCCTGGCTGGAATACTACCAAAATGTGCTGCAGACGGACGTCGTGACATCAACGCATTTCAACAATGGGCGTTTATCGCAGCTTCATCAGGACCAATAAGCTGCTTCGCTACACAACACTTTAAAAGGTGTGTCCACCAACCACTTGTCAATCAATGGGTCTTAAAAGCAGCAGTACTATGTACATTTAGTGGCAAGGATAGAAAAATAAAAGCAATGTATAGTATATAGTTATATATACCACATGTAAGTCTATCCTTCACTAAGGACCTATTTTCCTAATACAGGTATCAATAATCTCCATGGCTAATCGTTAGAAATAAAAAACAAAAACGTTGGTTTTAGAAGATATTTAGATTAACCACTTGCCGCCCAGCCACCGCATATAATGGTGGCAGGGCAGCACTCGTAGGCAAAAGCACGTTTTAAAACGGCTGTCTTCATAACAGGTAGGGGGCGCGCACCCGCCCTACCTGTCCCGCGGGTGTCAGCCGGTTTTTACCAGCCCTTTTCCTGCGATTGACGGTGATCGCTGACACAGAGCAGGGCTGCATTGTTTACACACAGCCCTGTTCTGTGTCAGTTCTCTGACAGCTTGTGAGAAGCTGCAGAGTTTCTCTCCCTCATCCCCCCTCCCCCCCCCCCTCCAGTACACACCCCCCGCCCCCTAGTAAAGCACTCCCCTTACACAGCAAATTCTAAAAATGTTAACCACTTCCTCCCCAGTGGCATTAGTACAGTTTCAGTGGTTTTTTTTCACTGATCACTGTATTGGTGTCACTGGGGATGTCAGTGACCCCAAGTCAGTTCCCCCCCAGTGTCAAAATGTCTGCCGCAGTCCCGCCATAAGTCGCTGGTCGCCGCCATATGTCGCTGATCGGCGCCATTATTAGTATAAATAAAAATTCCAGTATCTTTCCCGCCATTTGTAAACGCTATAACTTTCACGTAAACCAATTTACACGTATTGGGATATTTTTTTTTAGCAAAGACATGTCGCAGAATGCATTTTGGCAGAAATTTATGACTAAATTTGATTTTTGCATTTTTTTTTTTTTACTGGACATGTTTTTATAGCAAAAAGTCCAAAATATTGTTTTTTTCCTCAAAATTGTCAGGCTTTTTTTTTTATAGCGCAAAAAATAAAAACCGCACAGGTGATCAAATACCACCAAAAGAAAGCTCAATTTGTGGGGAAAAAAGGATCTAAATTTAATTTATGTACCGTATTGCATGACCGCGCAATTGTCTGTTAAACTAGCGCAGCGCTGTATAGCAGAAAAATGGCGTAAATTGCAGTATCTATACCATAGTTTGTAGACGCTATAACTTCCACACAAAGCAATCAATATACACTTATTGGGATTTTTTTTTTTTTTACCAAAAACATGTAGCAGAATACATTTTGGCCTAAATTTATAACCAACTTTGAGTTTACTATATATTTTTTATAGCTGAAAGTAAAAAATATTGTTTTTCTTCAAAATTTTTGGCCTTTGTTCATAGCGTGAAAAATAAAAAAGCGCACAGGTGATCAAATTACACCGAAAGAAAGCTCTATTTGTGTGAAAAAAAGGACGTAAAAATTTTGTTTGGGTGCAGCATTGCATGACCGCGCAATTATCAGTTGAATTAGTGCAGCGCCGAGTAGCAAAAAGAGGCCTGGTCATTAAGGGGGGTAAATCCTCAGGAGCTCAAGTGGTTAACCACTTACCCTCTAGAGCAGTGGTTCTCAACCTTTCTAACGCCGCGACCCCTTAATACAGTTCCTCATGTTGTGGTGACCCCCAACCATAAAATTATTTTCGTTGCTACTTCATAACTGTAATTTTGCAGTAGGAGGAATCGTGCCCCATCCTTGGTGTCAGTGGGGGGAGGAATCGTGCCCCATCCTTGGTGTCAGTGGGGGGAGGAATCGTGCCCCATCCTTGGTGTCAGTGGGGGGAGGAATCGTGCCCCATCCTTGGTGTCAGTGGGGGGAGGAATCGTGCCCCATCCTTGGTGTCAGTGGGGGGAGGAATCGTGCCCCATCCTTGGTGTCAGTGGGGGGAGGAATCGTGCCCCATCCTTGGTGTCAGTGGGGGGAGGAATCGTGCCCCATCCTTGGTGTCAGTGGGGGGAGGAATCGTGCCCCATCCTTGGTGTCAGTGGGGGGAGGAATCGTGCCCCATCCTTGGTGTCAGTGGGGGGAGGAATCGTGCCCCATCCTTGGTGTCAGTGGGGGGAGGAATCGTGCCCCATCCTTGGTGTCAGTGGGGGGAGGAATCGTGCCCCATCCTTGGTGTCAGTGGGGGGAGGAATCGTGCCCCATCCTTGGTGTCAGTGGGGGGAGGAATCGTGCCCCATCCTTGGTGTCAGTGGGGGGAGGAATCGTGCCCCATCCTTGGTGTCAGTGGGGGGAGGAATCGTGCCCCATCCTTGGTGTCAGTGGGGGGAGGAATCGTGCCCCATCCTTGGTGTCAGTGGGGGGAGGAATCGTGCCCCATCCTTGGTGTCAGTGGGGGGAGGAATCGTGCCCCATCCTTGGTGTCAGTGGGGGGAGGAATCGTGCCCCATCCTTGGTGTCAGTGGGGGGAGGAATCGTGCCCCACATCCTTGGTGTCAGTGGGGGGAGGAATCGTGCCCCATCCTTGGTGTCAGTGGGGGGAGGAATCGTGCCCCATCCTTGGTGTCAGTGGGGGGAGGAATCGTGCCCCATCCTTGGTGTCAGTGGGGGGAGGAATCGTGCCCCATCCTTGGTGTCAGTGGGGGGAGGAATCGTGCCCCATCCTTGGTGTCAGTGGGGGGAGGAATCGTGCCCCATCCTTGGTGTCAGTGGGGGGAGGAATCGTGCCCCATCCTTGGTGTCAGTGGGGGGAGGAATCGTGCCCCATCCTTGGTGTCAGTGGGGGGAGGAATCGTGCCCCATCCTTGGTGTCAGTGGGGGGAGGAATCGTGCCCCATCCTTGGTGTCAGTGGGGGGAGGAATCGTGCCCCATCCTTGGTGTCAGTGGGGGGAGGAATCGTGCCCCATCCTTGGTGTCAGTGGGGGGAGGAATCGTGCCCCATCCTTGGTGTCAGTGGGGGGAGGAATCGTGCCCCATCCTTGGTGTCATTTGGGGGAGGAATCGTGCCCCATCCTTGGTGTCAGTGGGGGGAGGAATCGTGCCCCATCCTTGGTGTCATTTGGGGGAGGAATTGTGCCTCATCATTGGTGTCAGTGGGAGGAATAGTGCCCCATCATTGGTGTCAGTGGGAGGAGGAATAGTGCCCCATCATTGGTATTAGTGACACCAATGATGGGGCACTATTCCCACTGACACCAATGATACTTACCTTGCAGACCCCTGCTCCAGCCTGGGCTCGCTCGCTCCCTCCCTCTCCCATGGTACCAACACTTACCGGTCAGATGTCTTCCTTCTCCGGCCGCTCTCCTCCTCTTCACTCGCTCGATCTTCGCGGTGCCGCTCGGCTCCTCCTCTCCAAGCTCCACCTCCTTGCCGGTGATTGGCCGCCTGTGTGCCTCTCCTGAGCTACAGTGCCGGCGGCCAATCACAGGCGAGGATTGATCTCGAGGTGTGTCCAGATGACAGGGGCGGCATGTCATCCCGCCCACACCTGGAGACGGCGGTGGCGGCGGCGGCTGCGAGGAGCGGTGTCTCGGTTCCTAAGACCATCGGAAATATGTGTTTTCCGATGGTCTTAGGCGACCCCTGTGGAAGCGTCATTCGACCCCCAGGTTGAGAACCGCTGCTCTAGAGGATTTACCTCCCTTAATGACCAGGCCTC